ATTGCCTTGTCAATTTACTCCAGCCATAGTGATACCATTCTGTTGCCATCAAGCATTCGGATGAATGTCAATCGATTGTGACAATACCGAAACGAAATGAAGCTTTGGAACATGATTGAACATCGTTAAGCAGACCGTTAAGCCTTTCACGGCGATGTGTGCCACCGGTCGCTCACGATGTATTTTAACGAGGAAAATGATAAAAAAAAAAGATTTTCTTCTTTTTTTCCTAAACAGGGAGCGACGGTTAGTCCTACACTTTACTTCGTCTTTGTCACTAGTTGATCTATTTTATTATTTAGAGGAATGCTTTTCATTAGAACAATCAAGACAAAAGAATTTGTCGCAATCAGGAGAGAAAGTATTTATTCTCTTTGCTGCCGTCGCAGTTGCTTCTCTTGGTTGTTGTTGCCTAATCTTCTCATAGCAACCCACATATCTTCGTCGGACATTGCGTGCAGGTCCTTCCATTTCTTCGAGCTTGTGATCCGCGAGTTTACGTTTCATTTGGCTTGTGGAACGTTCGCTCGGACCAGGTTTTAGATTTTCGAATGGTACACCGAGAAGTAAAGATCGCACAAGACTTTCACGAAACTGTAGCACCGTCATACGGCTTGTGTCATCATTTTCTTTGTAAATCAAATAATCATTTACTATTGACATTCCAAATATCATCTCAGATACCACCTTTTGATACCACTTTTTGGATCGTCTGAGGCATATGTAGTATGTTGATAATTGATGAGAGAAATCTATACCATGTTTTCCTTTATTGTAATCGAGGTTAACTTGTGACTTCATCATGCGTGCATTTTCTTTATTGGTTTTTCCGGTGTCTACCAAAGTTGCTGAATGTGACGGCTTTGTAGATATCATCAAAACATCCCTTTTATCTTTCCACTTGATTAATTTTATACCATTGTGGCTCTGGAGGTCATAAACTTCACCACGCTTAAGCTTTTTCTGAAGTACTTCAGGCCCTGATTCAGCGCGATTGTTTCTCAATGTTCCAATAAGATAAGTGTCATTCCGCAATAAACTTTTTGCAAGAGAAATACTTGCAAAGAAAGTGTCAACGACCACAGTTCAATGACATTCCAAAAGACAATCTGCCAAATTAATAACGACAGTTTGGGCGTGTCCAAGACCAGCCGTTGCATCCTGCTTACCAATATAAACCATAAAATTCCAGGTGTATCCATTAGTAGCCGCTAGCTTGTATATCTTGATGCCGTATTTGTGCGCTTTTCCAGGAATATACTGTTTGAACAAAAGTCTCTCTTTCTATGGTACCATTGTTTCGTCGATAGAAATAATTGTCTCAGGAATATAAATTGACTTGAATCTGGCTTTCAATAAATCTAAAAGTGATTTCAACTTGAACAATCTGTCTTGGTCTGCATGCTCTTCTTAGTTGTTCGAAAAATGATAAAATTTGAGACGTAATTCAAATCTATCTCTCGACATTGCATTTTGAATGACTTCAGATCCAAACAACTTGCTTTTGCTCCCGTAGTAATCTATTTCTGGCATTTGCACTAATCCCATTTCAATAATAATTCCCAAAAATTTGAGCATTTCTTCATTAGTAGTTGGTTTTTATTGAAGAGTTTTCGATCGTTTCGTAAGCTACTGGATTTCTACGTGTTGTTCTGCATATCGATTAGTTTCACGAACCACGAGGCTAATAATATCATCAGTAATGAAATATCGATAGCAATCGATAGGATTGATCGTATTACCTTCCTAATTTGCCGATACTTCTTCCACCATTCCATAATCCTCCGAAAATTCAGCATCCGAGTCTGATTTTATTTCGCCCCAGACTTATGAATCCACATCATCATCCGTAACTTGTTCCTGGAAGCTTGACGATTCAAATTGCATTCTAGCAAACTCATCATCCAAAGAACTCACATCAGTCAGTGAGTTGCCACTGTATTCTGTATCGGTTTCTTCAGACAACATGTAAATCAGCGCAAAACTTCAGTTGTTTTTATGTAAGTTTTGTGTGTAGTTAGTGAAAGTGAGTTCAGTTTATTGGGATAGATATATATATATATAGAGAGAGAGAGAGTAGTATAGAGCAGAAAAGAGAAAATGCACTTGAATAACCTGAACATATGCAAAGAACAGAGAAAAATATAGTGTGTTTTTCATAAATGTCAACAGAACAAAAGTGAAAGTACCTATGTGTGATGATGTCATATAACAGCGATGGCAGTGAGATAGGACCGAAAAGAGGCCATCACATCACCTAACAGAGTCAAAGTTAATGCTACCAAAAGAATGTAAAAGAAAAACATTGAAATTTTGTTTCTTTATTTCGTTCCTACTGTATAATACATGTAACAGAGAGAAAAACAAATTTGAGTAACTATTCAGTTCGACGTGAAAGAAGACCTCCTATGCGATGATACAGACAACAGAAAGAAAAACAAATAGCTGCACATACTGAAAATATCAATGAGCGCATTTATCGAGCGTGGACACGCCTGAAAATTGATATGTTGAAGCTATTTTCCTCGGAAAACCGAATCGCCGTGAAAGGATTAATTGCAGCAATCTGAGCTAGAACCATCGTTGTAAAATAAGTTCAGCATAAACAAAAAGGGGTGTGCCAAAGAACTCTTCTAAACGTCTGGAACCGTTTTTTTAATCTATTACGATTCTTTATAAAGACAAATAGTGCGAGATAGAACTCCTCTAAATTTCTAAAACCATTTTTTATCTGTTACAATTCTTTATAATCGAAAATGATGTGGCATAGAACTCTTTTGAATGTCTACAACCATTTTTTATTTGTTATAATTCTTTGTAAAGAAAAATGTTGCGCGGTAAAACTGTTTTCAATTTCTGGAACCATTTATTATCTGTTATGGTTCTTTAGAAAAAGCAAGGGTGCTAGACAGAACTTATCTAAATTTGTGGAACCATTTTTTATCTGTTTTAGTTTTTTACACAAAAAAATAGTGCAAGATAGAATAAATATAAATATCTGGAACCATTTTTAATTTGACATGATTCTTAAAATTATCTAAAACCCTTTGATGGTTTATTAGTAAACGAATGAAACCTTAAAAGGTTCTGGATCTTGTCTAAAACCCTTAATGGTTCCTAATGGCACTTTTTTTTTTTAGAGAGTATAGACAAAATGATAAAAGGTTAGCATTCCTTTGGGTTTCCTTTTCATTGTTAAAACATAATTATATACACGAAATTGAGCAATCGAGAATAGCGACCCGTGGAACCGTCGACGACTGACTGCGAGCTGTCTTCCATGGCTCACTTTCGAAAATCTCCACATAAAACTTAAACATTCACTCTTTTTACAAAATAGTTGTCATGGACAATATTATGCATTTTTTTCTGTACATGTGTGTATGCTAAGTGATAGTTCCCAAAACAGAATCCGGTAAGCAATGATAGACGATGATTACATGAAATTCAGTCGAGGGTCAAGCGAGTCGTGATGACGAGCATTACTTGTTTATTTTAGAAATATAAAAAAAACTGTAAAGAAATTCACAACATATTTTTATATCTATCAAGTTTTTCTTCTGATCAGTAAACATTTTCTGACCCAAACTCGTTGGACTCTTGCATTCAGTCTTTATCTTATATTCTTGTATTTGATTTCTAAAAAACCTTTTTTTAATCAGCATTATTAACAATAAAACGAAAAACTAAGATAGTTTGTTTATGAGTTTCGCATTCATCATAGTCACCATATGAACTTTCTTTTTTTTGTTCAAGTAGACCATTTCAGTCCAGTGAATGAACAAGTCATTTTAAATGCTTTTTTGCTTAACACACTCAACACGATTCGATTTGATTGGAGAATAGCTCTGCAGATTCATTTTCGTGTGCACTTGTCTTTCGACAACTGTACTCGTTGACCTTTTCATTCTGAGCAGACTCGTCTTTTTCTCTTTTCTGTTTGTAATATCACATGCAGTGTAGTGACCATTCTTCAGTTTCATCAAAGTCTTGTGCGATCTTTACTTCTTGATGCGCCATTTGAGAATCTGAAACCTAACCGAGACAAAAATCAACAAGCCAATCGAAGCGCAAGCTCAGTGACCACGAGCTCGAAGAAAAAGAAGGATCTGCTCACAATGCCCAAAGATGCTGTGCTGGCTACTACGAGAAAATCAGGCAACAACAATCAAGAGAAGCAAGTCATGCGGCAGTAGAGAAAATAAAAACTATCTGTCTTCATTGTGAGAGATTTTACTGTCTTGACTATTTTAATGAAAAGCATCGCGCTATCCAATAAATGATTAAATAATAGCAGAAGCAAAACAGATGACACATTATGTGTGACCTCCTGACTAAAAAAATGAAAGAAAAGTGTTTTCTATTAAGTTTTTTTTGCCAAAAAAAGTGGGACCCACCGGCGGGTCCCATCGTGGCGAATGTGTTAATGTACGAAAATAAAATTGAGATAAATCTGCTATTAAAGAAGAAAAACATGGACGTTAACAATATGTTAGAACAAAATTTTATTTTTTTCATTATTTCATGGAATTACAATTAACAAACCTTTGAATGCCATTACCATCATTCAGAAAATTTTTATTTAAAAAAATCGAAAATTTTATTTTTTTACAACTTAACAATACAAAATGTCGAATAAAAAACTCAAATAAGAATCCATAAATTCCAATTTGTATATGATGGATAAGCAGATACTAAATATAAACAAAATTTATCCAGACAACAACATAAATAAAGACACGATATACTCACAAAAAGACGTTAATGTTAAATTATCTTTTAATAAAATGAATTAATTGATAAAGATAAGATTATCATTGTTAATATAATTTGTTGTTGTTGTTGTTGTTGTTGGTTGAAATTGATTAAGAATTTCTTTGATATTATTTTGAGAATTTAAATCAATATGATATTCTACAATTTATCATTAAATTATTTGATCGATGAGTATTCATTCCTATCTTTTATTTTAAATCTAGAATAAAAAAAATGATAAAGTTTTATTTTTTCGATATTAATCTTTCAATAACAAGAATTTCTCGACATGTTTCACACCAATCTAGATCAATACGAGATGGAAACATTGTTATTAATTCTCCTTTTTCATTAACAACTTTTGTTCTTTGTAAGGTTAATGTATGTCGAAATTTTGAATCGTGTAATTTCTTTCCTAATCCAATTTGAAGCATTTTTTGTATAAGAAAATCAATCGCACAACGACAATATTCAATAGAATATTCAGACGTTGCTTGAATTAAAATAGATTCGGTTGATGGAGTTAACTGAAATGAACAAATTTCTTTTTAATGAAATAAAAAGTTTTATTTTTGGTCTTTTACTTTATATGGTTCACCATCAGTTAATGATTGAAGTGATATAACACGATGATTTTGATCACATAAATAAGGAAACTTTTGTTGATCTGGTATTAATGTTAATGTTAAATGTCTATTTGAAGATTTATTTTTTCTATTTGATCTTCTTTCACGTTCAGCTTTCTCACATAAATCATTATAAAAATTTCGAGCTGGAACTATTTTTGGACCTTCACCAAGTGGAACAAGACCTATTTCTTCAGGTTGACGAGCATCGTAAACCAAATTTCCTGATATAAATGATAAATCATGTGTACTAATTTTCGCTAAAACTTGTTGTTTACAAATTCGTTCATTAACTTCACTCTGAAAAAAAGATTTATTTAAATATGAATTTTGATATTTAACAAAATCAAATAAAACTTACTTGAAGATCTGTATATTTCTTTAAATTTCCATTCGTTGCAAAATCAATATATTTGACGATGCAACTGAGTATATATCGCCGAAGTTTTATTACTTGTCGTGTTACTCTTACTAAAATAAAAAATTTTATACAACTTAATAAAGATAAAAAAACAAACTTTCTTGTCCTGTTATATCTCCTGATTGACAAAAAGGTAAAACTTCAATTTTATCTGGACGTTGTTCTCCTTCTTCTTCGACTGGTTGGTCATTTTTTATTTTATATAATGTTGTGTAATAAATTAAAGGAGCTGCAATAAAACACAGAGTAAGTTCTGCAATCTACAAGTACAACGATATACAATATATATATAGATATATAGATACAGATATTGGAGTCATACATAAATTTGCCGTAAAACCAAATATTCAGGTATATCAATAACCGAATGATGAATAAGCAGACCACACACAGCCATAATGAGAAGATAAACACAGAAACAAAGTCGAACAATCTTTTCCTGAAAAAAAATATCAAAATAAAATTTTAAATATTTAAAATTAATTATTATTACCTTTTGGGTGTGGGTGTGGGTGTGGGTGTGGGTGTGGGTGTGGGTGGTGTGGGTGTGGATGTGGGTGTGGTGGGTGTGGGTGTGGGTGTAAATAAATACGTCACTAACATCCGCAACCCCACCCACACCCACACCCAAAAGGTAATAATAATTAATTTTAAATATTTATAATTTTATTTTGATATTTTTTTTCTGGC